TGGGAAGGGCCCCTGGAGGCCGAAACTAGCGAAAAACCTCCCCTCCGTTATTTTTTTACCAGCACGAGGAGGTCTGGGAAGGTGGGGGTCCCTCCAGCCTCGCCAGGCGCAGGGAGTGCCTGCAGCGCGTCCGCTCCGCCCCCGGCGCGCGGGCTGGGGCGCCGCCGCCAGCCAGGACGCGCACGGGCTTTGGGCGGGTGTCGTCTCCCGGCGTGGGCGCGGGGCGCGCGCACCAGCGCCGAGGGCCCCTCCCGGCCGAGGAGCAACGACGACGACGACGACGACGACGACGACGACGACGACGACGACGACGATGGCGGCGGCGGCGGCGGCGACGACGACGACGACGACGACGACGACCATGACGCCAGTTGAACTCTGCGACGCGGAAGCACCGATGGACACGGTAACGCCATTGGGCCCGATTGAATTCAACCTCGAGAGATGGGGCCGCGATCGATTCAAGATCGGAGGCTCGTCGCGGTGTTAGACACCTTTGCGCGCGCCGACGCCGCACGAATTTACCGTACGAAGGCGGTCTTCGCTATCATCATCGGCCCAGCGGTTTGCAGCGCTAGCGGGAGAGCGCCCACGGGATCCAGCGCGCGTCACGGGGGGTCAGCGCGAGTGGGGGTCAGCCAGATCCCCTCTGGCCGGCAAGTGTTCGGGAGCCGCGCGGGGCCGACTCCCCCGTGACTCCCCCCAGCCGCCCTCCGCTGACCCCGGTCTGGGAGCTACTTGGCGGCCGGCTCGGCTTCGCGACTGGGCCCTGGCCGACACAGGGTTGGGCTGACTCGGGTTTGGGCGTCCTCGAGAGAAAAGGGAAAGAGAGAGAGGGAGAGCACGAAGTCGGTCTTCTCGATCATCATCGATCAGAGCCCGTGCAGCGCAACAGGCACGAAAGCGGAGATGCGATCCGTATCTCTCCAGCGGTCTGATTTGGGGCAGTCTGTGTTTTTTGCATCCCCCCGCTTCCTCCCCGTCGTCGTCGTCGTCACCGTCGTCCTCCTTCTCCTTCTCCTCCTCCTCCTCCTCCTCCTCCTCCTCCTCCTCCTCCTCCTCCTCCTCTCCCTTCTCCCCTTCCTGCTTCTCCCCCATCCTCCTCCCCCTCCTCCTCCTGCTCCTCCTCCCCCTTCTCCTCCTTTCCATCCCCGCCCGTAGCCATTCTGGCTCAAGCCATTTTGGCTCAAGCGGCAACGTGGATACCGCTGATCCGCGGCTAGACCCCGACTGTTTCTCGGCCTTCACCGGTGGGGTTGGGCTCCCGCCAGCAGTTCCAGTCTCGCCGCTCTCTCACAGATGGGTGGAAGCAAACGCCATGGCAAGTCTAGGAATGAGTGCACCGTCGAGTCATCGATCTCGCGCTCGCCGTCGCCACCTGCGCGGGCTGCTGCTTCTCGTCACTACGACCGTGACCGTGACAGGGATCGAGATCGGGACCGTGCCCACGACCATCGTCGCCGCTCCCCTCGCAGTGCAGGAGGCTCTTCGTCTGCTGCCACCCGCCGCCCTCGCAACCAAGCACGCGGCGACCCCCGTGATGGTGTTTTTGGTGGAGACGACGGCCCCGCAGCGCGCGATGCTCCCATGGGTGTGGAGGCTTCCGCTGCCAGCACCGCCCACTTCGGCATCCACACGCCGCGCACCGAGGGCGACCAGGACCTCGACATCCCGCCCACTTTCACGGACAGCCAGCTCGCCGAGGGCGACCAGCGCTCCGCCGCGCTCTTGGCTGTCAGCGGCCGCTCGCCAGCTGCTGCCCCTTCGTCTACGGCTGGTGCTGGCGCCGCTCCGAGTGGACTGGTACGTGCTGGACCTGCGCCGCGGCCATCGCCCCCGCAGCAGCCCCCCTGGGCGACGACCCCTGCCAGTGGTGGCATCCCTGACCCGTGGGCGCAGGCCGCTACTCGTGGCGGACAGCCATTCGAAGCTTCACGAAGTCGGCCATCGAAGAATTCACACAGGCTGCGACGGCTGCGCTGGCCACTCGCCTGCCTGAGGCGTTGGCGCAGGCAACCCTCCCCCTTGTCAGCAAGTTCGAGGAGAAGTTCAACGAACAGATCAGGCGGCTCCGCGACGACATGTCGCGCCAGGACGCTAAGATCGCGACTGTGGGCGACCAGTTCTCCGAGCTCAGTCACAGGTTGTCGCGCCTGGAAAAAGGAGCTCGACGTGGCCCGCGCCAAGCCCCGCGAGGCCGCCATTACATCGGGTGACTGGGATCGCCCGACTGATCCGACCATCTTTCAGATTCGACACGCTAGCGCCATTCCGAATGCGTCCGTCGCCGACGCGCTTTAGGAGTGGCTGGGCGCGGCCAACCTCCAGCTGGGCGAGCACGCCGAGCTCCTCGGCGACGACCTGACCAAGCAGCACGTGCTCTCCTTCCTTGGCGCCATGCCCGCGACGCGCGAGAGCAGGCGCCGCCAGGCGCAGCTGCAGCTCCGCACAGGCGCTGGCCGCTGGCGTGCGTTCTCGGCTGCGGCGGGCCCCTCCATGGTCGCGATCTACGTCTCGGTGGACAAGAACAGAAAGGAGGTGGCCATGGAAATGGCGTTCAAGAAGCTGCGCAAGAGCGTCCTTGACCACTGGGGCTTCCACACCTTCGCCGACCGCGAGAATGGACGCCTGGTGTCGAAATGGGAGCCCCTCGCGCAGGTCCAGGCCAGCTCGGGCTCCCGGATCCCCAAGGTGGAGCGGAGCCTGGTGGCCCTGGCAGACTCCCAGCACACCCGGGAGGAGGCTACCTCTCTGGTGCAGCGGCTCTTCTGTGACAAGGACATCACGTGGAGTGGGCAACGCGCTGTTCGATGGCGACCAGCTCCGCACCGCGTCGTGGAACGCCCCCCCGCTGCTGCGCTTCGACGGCGCCAAGCTGAACGCCCGCATGCGGCACCTAGCTCAGCTGGCTTCGTCTTCTACGACTGCAGTCCAGGAGATGCATGGCGACCAAGTTCAAGTGGAAGAAGCTCTTCAACGTTTCGGGTTTCACACCGTGCCTTCGTGAGTGACAGTGGGGTCCCTCGCGCTGGTGGCGTGCCCGCGCTAGTACCGTCTGTAGGTGCCTTGGACATATCCTCGGAGGTTTTGGTTCCAGGGCGGGTTCTGGTACTAACGATCACTTCTCGCACCAGTGGCTTCACGCTGTTCCATTGGAACATCCACAACTTCGGGATAGCCGCTGATCAACTCCAGCGAGTTCGAGATCGGCTGCTTCATGGTCTTGCACTTGCTCGTCAGCAGCCGGTGTCTAATTTGGTTGGTCGTCGGCGACTTCAAAATTGCGGACGAGGGCGCCGAGTGCATCTCGTTCGGCTCGGGCTCGCCCTTGTCCTCTGCGCGCCCTCGAGCGGGTTCCGGGAGGGGCCTTCTGGAACGCGCTGCGCGCGGCGGCGCTGGTTAGGCCGACGCGCCTCCTCTGCAGGCCAGCCCGACTTCAGGTGATCGAGGAGTGGTGGCGACATCTGCGACTTCTGCTACGCGCGCACAGGTGCCGCGCTTGGCGCCCAGGGCCCCCCCCGCGCGCGGGCCGCCATTGCGACCGCAGCTGGTGGGCACTCTTCAGGAAGATGACGGAGCTCGCCAGCGAAGGCTTCTCGCACTGGGACGCCAGCTTTGGCGCATCGTCGAACATTGATCGTTGCTTCTCTTCTGCTCCGCCTTGGCTTCTCTGCCAAACCCATCGATCTGCTCGGCGTGCGCGTGGGCCACAGGCGGGATTTTGCCAGGGTCTTGGTGGCCATGCCGCTCTCGTTGTGGCATGGGGATTGAGTGGCCCATCCTCTCCGTTTCGTCCGCGGTCTCTCCCGCAGTGGGTCTACCTGCGCAGATCAGCTGTATCCTAAGATGGTCTCAGAATCGGAAAGGTTGATTGATCTATCCGCTTTGAAGTCCGACCCCCAGCGCATGCTTCTCATGGCCGCGCGTGCGCGTCAGGCTGCGGGAGATCTCGTTCGCGACACCTTGCTTCGCTCTGCCCCCACTTCCACCGCTTCCCGCGCGATGATCGGTCGAAGTATTGCTCGCTGTGTGCGGCGCCAAGATGTTATGCTGGCCAGGGTTATCACGCTCCGGTTCCAGTGGGCTCAGGAGGTTGTTTCCGCCCAGGGGCATCGCGTGATTCCATGGGGCCCGAGCGCTTTCCGGGCCCCCCGCGGTGATCTTCAACGTCGGGAGGCCACTTCCCGACGTCGGGCACTAGAAGCAGCTGCAGCGGAGGAGCCAGTCCCCGGTCGTCTTCGGCGCCTTCTTGGCCAGAAACGCGCGCTGTCACGTGCCCCCCAGCTTTGGGGCCCACTTCGTAGGAGAAAGTCCCTGGCGGCTGCGACCGTCGAGCAGGCCCGCGTCGGGCCCCCCTGGAGTTCAACCTCAGGCTCCATCCGCTGCGTCTTCTTCAGGTGATGCCAGTGCCGCGCTTCTCGCGGCGGGTGATGAGGAGATTGCTCGTGCCCTCTCGCTCTACTGGGCCCCCGTGTTGTGTCGCGCCCACGTGGTCCCTGATGGCGCTCAACGTTATCTCGGGAGGGTCACGAGTGCCCGGGACTTCACCGACTTGAGGCCCCCCGTGCTTCGCGACGTGGAGCGCTTCCTGCCTAGGGCTTCCTGGGCGGCCCCTGGCCCAGGCGGCCTCCACTGCGCGGCCTGGCGCACATGGCTTGGGCCTACTGTGCTCTATGAGGTTCTCCAGTGGATCGCTCGGGGCAACCTGATGGGCTCCTCCTTCTCGGCCACGCTCGCGGCGTTCATCCCCGGGCCTCTCAAGACGGGCCCCAACGAAGACGACCTGCAGGGCCTCCAAAGAGCCGCATCTGAGACCCGCCCGCGAGGTTTGAAGAACGCGGCTGGCAAGATGATTTGCGGGGTGATCAACCACTGTCTACATTCCGTTATTGGGGCGATTGGGGGTTCTTCTCAAAATGCTCTTATCCTTCATCGGACCTTCCTGAACAACATCGTGGACTTGGACGCTCCCTCTCGGGTTGCAAGCGTTCGGTCACAAGGTTCCCTGCGGACCTCCCCTGCGCTGATGGCCTTCGACATCGAGCAGACCTTCCCCTCGATCAGCCAAGGTTGGCTGCAGATGGCCATCGAGACGCTTCGCCTTCCCCAGCCCCTGAAAGCCGCGCTGAAGGTCTTGTGCCACTGCTCCCCCTGCTACTAATGCGGATCGCCCCTGTCGTTCCTGCGCTGCATGTCGTCGGGGGTGCTCCAGGGTTGCCCCCTCAACGGCCCCCTGCACACCGCGGCCCCCAACGCCTTCGTTCTTGACATCGAGCGGGGCCTCCTCCACCAAGGGAAAATGTTGGGCATTTCTCGGTCCAGTGCTGATGATCTTTGGTCAGTGGTGCATCATCCCCGCGCCTTCCCGAGACTTTCCCGCGCCTGTCGGCTAGCCGGTAAGTTTGCCAACCTACGACTCCAACGCAAGAAATGCATCGTGGTCCCTCTGTGCGTTCCTGGCAACGCCGAGGCTATTAGTCGCTTGCGCGCCGCGCTTCTGGCGGCTGACGCCAGCTGGGCCGACTTCACCTTCGTCTCATCGGTGACGCACCTGGGTTTCCAGGTCGGTCCAGGCGCGTCGCACGCAGATCAGTGGCGCGCCCCCTTGGCGAAGCGCGCGCTCCGCATGACGGAGATCAGCCAGCAGGGCGCGCCGCTCGGGGTGGTGGAGGAGCACGATCGGGCGCGCGCCCTTCCAGGCCCCCCCTACGTGGCCCAGCGGGCGCCGCTGGGATGGCAGGAGGCCCGGGGCCAGCGCGCGCTCATCGCTCGCCTCCTGCGAGCGCCGTGCCCCATGCTGCGCGCGTCCGACTGCTTCGCGCTGGCGTGCTGGAACGGACCGAGGTTCGACTCTATGTATGCTATGGCTGCCGCGGCGCTGATGCGCTCCGCGCTGACGACGTGCCCCACTTGGCGGGGGGGCCTCCGCTTCCTGCGCGCAGGTCCAGGACTTCGGCACGATGGATCTGCGGTGCTCCCCGCTGCTAGCGCCCCCCTTCTGGGCCGCGCCACCGTTGGCGGTGGCGCTGGAGTCGGCGGCTGCTGGGTCTCCTGGCGACTGCCATCTGGCTGCGGGCGGGGCCGCCGCTCGAGCTGTTCGCTTGCGACGTCTGCGAGCCTGCGCCCGCGCTCCTGGACATATTCGGGACCGCGCCGCTGCCTGTCAGCTTTGCGCGGGCTGCGGATCGCGCTCGACGCGTTGCTGATGACCATCGGGCCCCAGGGCGCACAGTCCATCTCCCGTGCCATCTTCGCCCGAGCCATCTTTCCTGAGCGCATCGGCGAGCTGATCAACCGCCGACTCTGCCGGCACTTCCAGCTCGAACTTCCCGATCACGGTGCTCTTTGCCGGCGCCTGCTGCGCGCCCCTCGGGCGCGGGCGGCGATAGCGCGCAAAACGTGCCTGGGCGGGTGGATCACGCACCATCGGATGCAGCGACGGGCCCCATGGATATAAGGCTGCCCCCATGGTCGGGATGCGATCGGGCACTACATCTTGCGGTGCCCCAGGAACATGCACTTCGCGTCGCTGGCTCTGCGCGTGGACTTGCCATGCCTGCCCGTCTTTCGCCTCGGACGCGAAGGCGGAGCTCTGGCCTTTGTGGTGGCGCAATGCCAGCACCGCCGACTCCTCTCACATCGTGTCCAGGGCGTTGCCACCTACAGTCAGGCGCGCGAGCTCGTCGAGGCCACTCGTCTTGCGGTTCGTCTCCCGCTCCAACGACGCTAACGACAGTTGCTCCGCCGCTCCGCCCTCTTCGACGCGGTCCGACTGGCTCGAGCTGCTCGCGACCTTCCCCCGCCCCCCCCCCCGCCCCCCCTTCGGAGCCGGAGAACGACATGGCTGGGATTCAGGAGGCCAGCCCGACTTCAGGCGATCGAGGAGAGGTGGCGACGTCTGCAATTTCTGCGGAGGAGATTCGCCCGATCCCTCCTTCCTCGTCTTCAAAGAGGGCTACTCCTTCATCTTCTCAGATCTCGTCTAGTTCCCAGAGCGCCTCTTCCTCTTCTACCCAGATCTCCCACCGAAGCCAGATTGCCCGAGCTCTGGGGATGGGGCCGCCCCTGTGTTCCCAGGTTTGCTCCTCGTTGTCGTCGCGGGTCTTGTCATCTTCGTGTGGCGTGCCTCGTTCGAGCGCTGACAACAGTGAGCCAGCCCCTGCCATCGCCGCTGCCCCATCCTCGTCTCGCTCTCCTTCTCTGTCGCAAGCTTCGACCGCCGAGCTCTTCTACCCCCCCCCCCCCCCCGAATGCGGATCTTCCTCGCGCCTCGGGGTCGATGGGTGGGCCCTCCCCCCCCTCGTCCTCGGCAGCTTGAGCCCCCCTGTCTTCCCTCTGTGGGCCAGCGTAATCCTGTGGCTGGCTTTGGCCCTCTCGCGGGCGTCCGCGCTGGTGATCCCACGCCGCTTTTTCACGCCTGTCGGCGATAGCAGCTCCGCGCCGCGCTGGGTGAGCGGGTCCTTGGCGCCGCCTGGCGGCACCGACTCTGTCGGCGCGATGGGGCCTGAGATAGCGATGCTGTGCCCCCCCCCCTAGCGACTCTAGCACATCTGCTGTCCTCTGCCTCCCGCGTCCGCGGCCATTTGAGCCCTTCCCCCTCGAGCCTCCTGCCCCGACGACCTCTGGGGTGAACCTTGGGCCTGTTTGCGTGCCTCTTGGGGCCCCGCCTTCCGCGTCCTCCTGGCCTGTTGAGCCTCCTCGTCCTGCTCCTGAGGGCACCCCCGAGGGCACCTCCCAGAGCCGTGAACGATCTTCCAGTTTGTGGATTACGACATGCCGCGATCCACAGGGGTCTTCCCTTGCTGTTGCTTCCGTTCATAATGTAGATCCTGTCGTGGCCTCTCTTGTGGGCGATGCCTCGCCGATTGATGCCGCCGCAGCTGCTCTAAGCCCCTCGTGCGATGTCATGGCGGATGCAGCTGCCCGTGTGCCCGCTGCTGCACAAGGCAGGCCAGGCTCAATTGCCCCCGTTGCGTAGAGTGGCTAGGTGGAAAGACTCGTCCCCCTCTGGTTATGTTCTTCATCCTTTCCCTCCCCGCGTACAGCATCAGCGGCAGGACGACGACGAGAACAGCGGCGGCGAGGCCGACGACGACGACGACGACGACGACGACGACGACGACGACGGCGGCGGCGGCAGCTGCGGCGACGACAACGGCGACGAGGACAACGAACACGACGACGACGACGACGACCACGACGACGACGACGACGGCGGCGGCGGTGGCGTCGGCGACGACGACGATGACGACAATTGAGACGACGACGGCGGCGGCGGCGACGACAACGGCGACGAGGACAACGAACACGACGACGACGACGACCACGACGACGACGACGACGACGACGGCGGCGGCGGCGTCGGCGACGACGACGATGACGACAATTGCGACGACGACGGCGGCGGCGGCGGCGACGACAACGACGACGACGACGACGACGACGACGACGACGACGACGACGACGACGACGGCGGCAGCGACGACGATGACGACGACCAGCGACGACGACCGCGACGGCGGCGACGGCGGCGACGGCCAGGCCGACACCGACTGTGGCGAGCCCCCCTTGTAGGAGGTCCTCGGCGAGCCCGCCGGCCGCCTTCGGGAACCCCTCCCCCGAGAGGGTGCGCGGCAAGGCACCGCTGCCGCCTCGGCCTGCCGCGCCGCCGTCTCTTCCTGCTTGTCCTTCTCCCCCTCGTCGTCGTCGTCCTCCTCCTCCTCCTCTTCCTCCTCCTCGTCCTCCTGCTCCTCCCTCTCCTCTTCGTCGTCCGCCTCCTCCTCTTCGTAGTCCCTCCTCCTCCTCCTCCTCCTTCTCCAGCTCTTCCTTCTCGTCCTCCTCTTCCTCCTCTTCCTCCTCTTCGTTCTTCTTCCCGTTATCCTCCTCTTCCTTCTCGTGCTACTTTGGAAGAGCTTTTTTGTTCATATGGGGGGTTTCGAAGTTGTGGTGAGGAAGGGCATGACAAAGTGAGCAGCAGTAGGGAATGTAGCTCAAGCAGTTGCAGCAGTTGAGTGATGTGGACAGACCTGTCTGGGCATGCTCTGCGTCCTCATCCTCCTTCTCCTCCTCTTCATCCTCCTCATTATCCTCCTCCTCCTCCTCGTCCTACTCCTCCTCTTTTTCCTCTTCTTCCTCCTCCTCCCCCTTCCCCTCCGCCTTGTCATCTGCGACTTCGGCACCTGTCCCGACCGCCGCTGGGCCGGCTGCCCCGCTTGCGCGGGGGTGGGCGCCCCAGACATAAAGAGTTACGGGCGTTCCTCTTTTCTCGGCGCCTACCTCGACGGCCACTCGGCTGGCTGGTCCGCGTGCGCGCGTGTAGGCACCCCAGACACAGGGAGCTCCATTTCTTGAGCGCCAGCATCATTGTGTGGTTCTCGCAGGCAGTGGACAGGGGCCCCCGAAACCCTCTGTCTTTTTTGGGCGGGCTCGTCCCGAAGTCTTCGGTTGCAAGGGCCGATCCAAGTGCTCTGCTAGACAGCGAACTCAGACACGCACCACAGAGTTCGTTCGTTCGTTTCCCCCTCCTCCTCCTTCTTTTCCTCCTCCTCCTCCTCCTCCTCCTCCTCCTACTCCTCCTCCTCCTCCTCCCTCGCGTCGCCCTCTCCTGGCCGATGGGGCCTGCCCCTCCTCGTCCTTCTTCTCCTCCGCTTGGGACAGGCGGATGCCATGAGTGAGTGCGGAGAGAACGTGTGCACGATGGCAGACCGCTCTGCGGAACTTTTGCGGTAATCTCGAGAGTTGAAGTTGTTGTACTTCGGAAGGTTAGGTGGCAAGTATCACGTATCCTCCTCCACCTTCTCCTTTTCCTCGCCCTTCCTCCTGTTCCGCAGTGCTCCGCACCATTTTTCCTGGGGGGGGGGAGCGTCTCCTCCCCAGACATCCTCGCGTCGTGAAGAAATCGCGATGGAAGGTTCTTGGGGGTCCTCGCCTGGCCCCGGGGCTGTTAAGCACCGAAACGCGTGAGGGTATGTGCCGAAATGGACATGAGGTGGGCGGAGGGGCGCGTGTGAACCGTGCAACTGGGCCCTTCGGTGTGAACCGTGCAACTGGGCCTTCCACTACACCCCGACAAGACCAAGAGTCTCACCAACGTCAGCCGGAGGGCTGGCAAAACAATCACGCACATCGTCTCAGATGGTGCACGCGTAGACATTCTACCCAACGACCAGAGTACGAAATACTTGGGCAGAAAGTTATCGTTCCACGACTTCCACGGACATGAGCTGAAAAACAAGATCGCCGCGGGATGGTCGAAGTTTCACCAAGTACGGTGCGAACTTACCAACAATAAACTCCCATTGCACAGCAGACTCCGACTCTTCAGCGGCGCGATCGCACCATGCGTTATGTACGGTTGCTCTTCGTGGTCATTCACCAAGGATATGCTCATCACGCTACAACGAACACAACGGAAAATGCGCCGACTGATCATAAATACACTGAGAAGAAGGTACATGCTGGAAGCAAGCAGACAGACAGCACGCGCCGGCTGTGACAGCAACAACGGTACACGTGTCGACGTCAACGACACCGAATCCAGCACCGACACCAGGACCGACAACAGCACCGGACGACGACGACAACAGCACCAGCACCAGCACCGACCACAGCACCAGCACCAACACCGAACACAGCACCAGCACCAGCATCAGCACCAATCGAAAACAGCGCCAACACCGACAATAGCACCTGCACCGACAACAGCACCAGCACTGACAGCACCACCAGCGCCAACACCGACTCCGACACCAGCACCGACAACAGCAACCGACGGAGACAATGACGATAGATCTGAGTCTTGTGTTCATGTCATACGGAGAAGTACCTCCACCGCTTTGGCACTCGCCAAACGAGCACGAGTCGACG